TTGGGTGACATGAAACATGCATTTTGCAAACGGTATGCAGGATCGCACACGTCTCAGCCATGTGGAGCACCACAAATGGCAGTTGTAGAAGGCCTCCCTCGCCCACTCATAAATACCAGTGTCTGTCCGGGTGACGGATCCAATCGCCACCTCAGTCAACCAGTCCCACGTTTACTTCCTACCATTCACACAAACATCAAAATCTGCGCCAAGCAAAGCACACTTTTCCTTCGGTGAAATGTCAGTGTTGTAAATGGAGACAGTCTTCTTGCTAGCAGTGGTTGGGTGCTAGGATTGGCGGTTTGCATGCATAGTTGCTGCGCACGACTAAAGAAGGAAGCTCCAATCAACAGTGCAGCAACCGTTCTCTGCACGTTCGAGCATCGTACCGAATGGTAGGAGTCGAACTGGGACAAGTAACGAACACTCAATGAAGCAGGCGTTAGTTGCCGAAACATACCACCGTGGTTGTTACAGGCACACCTTTACCCACGTCCGATTGCCTTTTCAGCTTGCACCCCTTACCTATGTCCAATACGTGCAGTGTCACACCTCCTGCCAAAGCTGACTCATTTTCCAAATCGTCATCGCAATGTCCATGCACACCAACTCAATCAGCCTACTGACCACACTGTCACCGCAACCGTGCCTTCTTCCACCAAACCACAGCCCATGCGAAGCTTGTCAATGACGAAGACCAAGATGGTAGTAGGCGATGTGACACCCTCCCAATGCCACACACATTGACTATCTCAAGGATCCATTTACTGAGAGAACGGGCAACACCCATACAGCGACCACCGGTCCTCTTGTTCAACAGATGGAATTTATTTCGTCTTGTCTAGCAACACTGAGGCACGAAAACGATACCGTACTGGCAACTGCCAGTATCGGTGAATTTTAAGAAGCACATGCATCTCAACGTCAGATGAAGGCATAGAGTAAGACATAGAAGCACCAGATGCACCAAATCTCAATTCACAATTTTCATTGTATGCCCCTCCATCACTCATATTTTCACTCCCCAACCTATTTTTACATATGCCCATTCACTTGCCTGTCTTCAGCACTAATGCTTGCCTGTCCTTCATTCACAGTCATTGCCGTACACCCCCGATGCTCTTAAATAAGCTTTCGCTTACTAATACCAGCCTTAATTCAAGTCGCAGTAGGAGAATACGCTTAAACAATCAATCGCGGTGAACAGCAGAACAGTGTAGTGGCAATGAGACGCACTTCATTTCCTCGCAAACCACTAATTTCTCTCAGTAATTAAGCAATATCCTGAGCACTAATAACAGCCTAATACGATAATAATAACAACTACTTAGCATCCCAGCAATGACTACACAGGCTAATTCCTTTAACAAGGGTATTAATTCCGGTTAAATAATGCGTCCCCATATTGGATAAAGTAGCGACTGAAAGACAGTAAGTAGCGTTGTAAATTCAGAAACTCCACAGTATCGGCGTATAAACGTTTAACCAACTCACCTCTTCCGCATTCCGAAGGTATGGGGCACCACCATATTAATGAGCGTTCCCAAAACAAAATACATCCACGAATCCGTCAAGTTTCATGCTGCTAGATCCGATCCAATCATTGCTCCAAGGAGAATTTGGCGACCACAGTCAATTTTCACCGCATTTTTAGTTCGCTGACAAACTCAATCCAAAATATCGACTAAGGGGAGGTGATCTACCCACGTATATACGCCAGAAGCTCACTCACGGATTACCATGACCTAATTTCCTGAAGTAAAGCAAAACTACAAACTAAAAGACCGTCGTCTATCTGGAGGGTAAACGTGAAAAGAAGGAGCACTGAGACTTGAAAACAAAGCTAGATTCTAGGTATCACCTGTATAGTGCAGACACCCAGCTCTGAGACCTCTCCTCAGCTAGCTAGAATCCAGAAATCACTCCAACAAAATCTGGGTACGATATTTGAAGTAAATGCAAGCACAGACTAATCCAGCTACACAAACCGCCGCCTATGCGTTTATTCATAAAGCCAGACCATATGACAAATTTCACAGTCGCATGCTGCAAAGTTCCAGTAACAGAGCAGAACCAATTTCATCCATTCTGCTCAAAGGCATCGGTGTCCGCACCGAAGAGAAAACCACCAGCCAAATAAACACACCATGATACCCAGGATATATGACAAAACACCCCACCGCACAACACCAAAGCCATGATTGTTTAAGTCCAAGGTCTTAAATCAAGGCCTACCAAAGCCCATATAATCCAAAACTTATTCACCTTTAACAAGAAAATTATTGCAGAAAGCAGAACCACACCATTTGTACAATTTTAATAAACAACGGTTTCGATCAAAAGCTAGAACCGCTTCCCACCTTTTTGAGCTGGTTTGCTAACCTTCTTCGCGGCCTTCTGTTGTTGTTTTTGACCAGGTCCCACGTTCTGTTTTTTCTTCAATTCTGCCTTCTTGGCTCTCTTTTCAGCCTCCTTAGCTTTCTGTTTTTCTTTCAAAGCTTTCATAGCCTGGTCACGCATCGCTTTGCGAACCTCAGGGTTTTGGTTACGCTTTGCCATTATTTCAGTGAGACTGGCACCAGCGAAGGCACGAGCAGTCTTGGTAACCTTTTTCGTGCGTTTCTTGATGAGTTCCTCAACAGCACCTTTCTTGTACTTGCGGCGATAGAGAACAGTCCAGCTTACTTCGCGCGGGTTGCGCTTCAGATAATGTGAACGCTCGCATTTGGAGCTGAGGAAATAAAATTGGCGACCGTCGCCACGAACAGCACGCTTCCCGTGACCTGGATAGACCTTATATCCACTGTATGAGCAGACCTCCAACCTATATTTGACGGTAAAGTAGCAGTGTTGATATTAAGCAGTGCAGCGCTCAAGTGCAATACTATATGAAAGAACAAGCTAATAGGGAGAGAAAGGCGGTTCAAAAAGGACACTTGGACTGGCAAACACATAAGACATTGAAAACAATGAACGTCGAAAAGACATCCGCTGCGCCAAAGACAATTAATATGCACATAAAACATGTGTACTAGACATAATTCTATCAACTTTACAAACATCAATCGAACGCATAACCTTAATAGAAGTAAAAATTTGTAGGCGAGCCTCGACCCAAAATCTGCATGCAACCTACTTCATAGCTCAGGCGCCCGACCAAATAAGGATCGATTAAAACAAAGTACCGGGACCTAATTTTGTATTTGCTCATCGTACAACAATATTTAAACTTGTAAGCTTCTTTATCAACATTTGATTATAGGTTATACGTCCTAGCCCATAAGTATTTATCTAAAGTCTAGTTACTCAGCCACCATTGTAGACCGAGATTTTTCCGTTTTGTTTGTGTAACACGGCTTCTAATGTAATTCATGATTATACGATTATGCTAACTAACAAACTACCAGTAACACCTGGTCAGTGTAATTGTCTTAAGCCAATCAAGGGTTAAATTTATACAATTTGGCAGCGCATCGCATCGCCCATTGGTTCCCCAAATTGAGGACCCTATAAAGCGCTGATTGTGATGGTTTCGGTCAGTGGGAAGGCGTGGAGGCTTGGACGTCTGTTGTTGGCTGGTGGCAAGATACTGGCGAAGCTGAGGGGTCAAGTAATCGTCAGCTTCGTCTGGTCTTGCTGCATGCCTCAATAATAAGCAGCTTTGGAATGGCTTAACAATACAGTCACCACGGTAAATTAGTTCTGGTCTGATAAGTGGTTTGGAAGCTACGTCTCTGTCCTTTGAATTAATCTTTGTTTTTGCTATTGAGTTTTTATGCGTACATAGTATGGCACCGTTTAAAATGCACAAAATTTCTTAACACCGAATGTGTTAGCTTGCTGCCTGGCTTGCAACTTCTTATTCCTTTGCTCATTCTGGTTGTTTGATTTGGCGCAATCAAAAATAGCAAGGCACTATGCATGCGATATATGTTTTATGGAAAATTCATCCTAGCTTCGAAGCCGATTGTGTTAGATACTCTCTATGATGGAAAAGGAAAGCTACTCATTAACGTGTTTTATATTCCCGGGTTTTTTGGACCTAGTTAGCACGGTGAGGGGATGCGCCTTTATGCTGTAGTGTTTGCCTCTTGGCAGACCTTCCTAACAAGCATAACTTATTTACCGTTGCATCCCACCTTTTGTGAAAAGTCAGATGCTGTGAGTGTAATAATGGAGCTTTTGACTTCAAGACCTTCTTATTAAAGCTACCATTAACACTATTATTTTTCTCTCTACTTTAATGTACACGGTCATTCATGTTTTCCTGCCAGGTTCTGGTCTAGCTAAGGAGACTATGGTAATAAGCACCTTTTTTTCACCGGAAACTTAGTTACTACTTCCATTCCTGTTGAGACCGTTGAGACTTTTCCCGTCCTTAAATCAGTACTAGGTTATCCACTAGAATCATCTTTTCCCTGAGATAAAGCTATCGTAAACTCCAAGTAATCTAATAATAGTACAACCTCTCCACATTTACGGGACTGTTTAAAGGTGAATGCATTACTTCGTTCATAATCTACTCGTGCTTTACTAGTGGTCCTCAGAGGTTTGCCAAATGAATGGTCTGGAAGTGTCAAGGCGTTGAACAGTGGTAACGGGATTGGCATGTTTGCCATTTTAACACGATAACCAGCAGTGCCAAGTTTAAAGTCTCCATGCTTTTCGACCTGTTTGTCGTCATTGATCAGAATCTGGTCTGTCCCAACATGTCCACCGTTGTCACAGGCTTCTGTGCGAACTCAGCAACCACGTTAGCGCTTCTAGGCATCTTATTGGGAGGAAGAAGGCATAGCACTTCGTTTTCTGCGCTTAATCTGCTAAAGCTTGGTAAGATTAATGTTGATGGAAGGGGCTTTACACTTACTCATTGGTCGGCTGGGTACATTAGTAGATGCGATCTCGGGCTGTTGCCGCGGTCAGTGTGTACACAGTAGAGTCCGCATCGTTAGCTTCAACCACAATGAGGACGATTTTTCCATTTCTTCCTTCCATAAAACAACCTTTTATTTGATTAAAATGGACTTAGGATGTAAATAATGTGGCGGTCCTCCAGATATGCATAAATCAAAAGGACGGCATTGAACTGCGAACTGGAAAGAGGTCGTATAAGCCTATTTACACTATCCCAGGAAGACTCGATGCAATGATCAGGTGAATGAACTTGAATGGACACTCCTGGCCTGGAATGGGTCATTCTAGCTTATGTGGACTGGATACAAAACGCTACACCGTCAGAAAATGTCGATCAATCATCTGTGAAACCTGCACACTGTAAAAAGTGGTCTAAAGAGTCGCTGTGGCCCTCATCTGTGCATGAAGTGTCCTCAGGCCTTCGTCACCTCGATTAAGGAAGCCTTGAATGGACATTACCCCCACAACTATTTGCTCTCTTCTTGATTGAATTGGTTTGTAATTTGTTTTGATTGCTACATCCAAAGTGGATGGGAGGGTCGTAAAAGCTAATATCCTCTTCGTGCCTCCCACCAAATCAAGAATCATCTACTTCGTGAGAATTCCCATTGTTTTTTTTCTCGGACTACCAGGTCATTTATCTTCCGGTTTTTTGGAAGCACATTCATGCTAGCTTAGTGGTTTGATCTACTCTCGTTTTCAATGACTGCTGTCTTTTGTTAAGAGTTTTTGATCAAAAGGTGGAAATTCACATGGGACGCCGTTTATGGAATCGTGGAGGCGTTCAAAAGAGGTGAAATAAACGAGACGCTTTACCAATTCAATGGGTGGAATGAGTTTAAAGCTTTTGGATGTCGTAAATTTTCTAATTTGTCATCCAAACGAAATTGCTACCAACACTGATGAGCTCCTGTGGTCTCGTTGTGGTACAACTTGTCACTGTCCTCAGGATGTGAGCCCCAGTGTTATACGGTGGCTGCTGTATCCTAGCCTATTCATCTACCTCGAGAAGATGCCTTGTGAATACGATCTTCTGTGATCAAGAGCCAGGTAAGGGTTAAATATTACCTTTCTTGAGGCCAAAAAACACAAATGTGAACATTTTCGTGTGCATGATAGCAAGTAAGTTGTGTCGAAGACGGTTCTCATGCCAATGAGCCAGGGAGGACGGTCAGTCATTCAACTTTCTCACGATGCCTTCAAGCCACTGCAAATTTACATTGATATGTTTTTCAGTGTTTGTGTGTGAAATTATTTTCACCTTCATAGAATCTGCAAGTTACTTACTTGCTTCGTCTTCCTCCTTGCCAAGAATTATAGTGTTTTCCGTTCATGACAATTAAACTTAAATGGTTGTTGATGTTAGTATGAAGGTATGGATGACAGAGTGTTTTGTATTACGACCCCTTTTGATCTCCTCCTCCTCCTCCTCGTCACCAATAGACGTGCAGAACAAGGTTTTGACAGCAGTAACTTGAAGGACTAATCAATCAAAGCGATCAGTGAGTACTCAAAGCCCAGCTCGATCAATCTCTCAAAACAACATCGTG